ATTGATCTGGATTGTTTGTGTGATTATTGTTATATACGAGGGCCTGTCATTGCTCCGTGGAGGCTTGGCATCAAACATTAAGGTGCCTGTCCAGTCAGTCAGTCAGTCGGTGGCACAGATAATGAAAGAGGGCTCCTCTGTGGGAGTGACGCGTCTCTTCCTCACACCCCATGCGGTGGTGATTCGTTCGGCTTACTCATATTTCTCCTCCAAACAAATTAATATTTATTATCGTCACTCAAGCATTCAGCTCAGGGGACTGATGACTCCCCTCGGACCGTGCAGCGCTCTCACATAAAGGAACGTTGTGAGATGGTTCTATTTTCGGGGACCATCATCTTCTCGACTCTGCCTTTATGAGACAGAGGAGAGTCACAGAGGAATCCTTTGGTGACACTGCTGCAAGACATCAATAAACAATACGGCCTCTGTCTGTCCTATCGCCGAGCAGGCCGTGTCCTAGACTGAGCCGTCATATGCGCTGATGTGTAAAAACATCTCCTATGTGAGATCTGCTCCAGTCATTTGTCAAATGTATCGTATGCTACCAAACAGACATTGACAGACACAGTAATGCGGAAAATGAGGATCCACCACGGACTGTTGTTTCCAATGCAATTATTTTCCTTCCTACAATATATGACAAATAAATCTAGATTATGCTAAAATGTAATTGGTATTTTTTTTTTGTATCGATTATCCCTCTGATTATTTTTCCAATTATTCATTTGGTCGATAAAATGTTCGTGTAAAATGTCAGTTTCACAATCAGTTTCCTAAAGCCCAAGGTGATGTCTTAATATTGCTTGTTATCGTCTTTATTGCCCCATTATCATAAGCATTATCAGTATTATAGTATCAAAACAGTTGCTGATTAGTCATTTCTGTTAATTAACTTACTCATTTTAGTTCATTTGTTTCAGCTTTGTGATATTCCTCTACAAATAGAATCGAATATTAATAGTCATATCACATTGAATAAGACATTTAAAAGTTGAATACAGTATAATGTTTATTTATTTATATATCTAAATAACAAATAAAACATAGGTATTTGTAGCTTTAGATTTCTCAGTTCCTACGTCTCCTGATGAACTTTAAATAACCACAGAGAGACCCGACACTCTACTCTACTCTGCCTCCAAGTGACTCAATGTTTTTTTATAATGTACTGTAATGTACTGCCAGTTCACATTACATTCATGCTTTCGAGTTTGTTGATGTAAGTATGGTTTCTTTTCATTCATTCTTTTCACCTGTGTATTCCTGTAAATGGGAGCCTGGAGGCTATCCCAGCATGCACTGGCATGGAAATGCTGCACAAAGCTGTTTTCTGAACAATTTAATATTCCTGGTGAACCCTGTTGTTTTTCATTTGATTTGTATAAATCTTTACCCTGAACTAGTGAGATGCCTCAGTGAGGGCAATAGTAGAGAGAATTATGACCACTGATGTGAAGGATCGCTGCAACACCTATAGGAACTATGGGCTCGCTTTCAGGTACGACAGAACAGCTCGCATACAAAACATCCTGGTTAATAAATTTAAAGTTATGTATGGAACTTGTATTACATCGTGAGAAACTCACCTTTTCAGTGCTTGTGCACATACATTTGGTTATCTGGAGTGCCTGACAAACCAAAAACTGGGCTTTGCTGGGCTGCTTAGATCACAAAACCACAAATCCATCCAGCAATTCAGATTTTTCTCCTCTTTTTGTGTCACATGCAGGCTTATTAGAATGAACCCTCCCATCTGACTATCTCCACCCCAAGTACTTTTGCAAAGGTGGGCCATATTTTTCTCACGAGCCAATCAGAGCAGGCTTGACATTATTTGGGGGGGGGGGGGGGCTTGGGTTAAAAAAACAGGCTCTAAAACAGAGCAATTCAGTCAGAGGGTGAATAAGGCTATATTCTGACAGACACTAGGAGAATAATAATGTGTTTATTTTACCTTTAAGCATGTAAACATGTTTTAGTAGAAACCCAAAATACAGTTATGAAACTAAAAATGAACATGATATGTTCCCCTTTAAAATGAAGAGGACAATATCATTACAAAGATAATTAAAGACAAATACAGACTATTCCAGTTACATTACTATTCCAAGAAAGTGTCCAATTAAAATAGTTTAGAGGGGAAAGGAAGTTGATGAGGATCTGGTCCTGTAACAGCAGGACAGTAATAACAGAAGAATGTCACCATCTGTGTCCTACAGACTAAACATCAACTTATTCTAAACACCAGAAATAATTGTGCTATTGAACAATGCTAAACTATACGAAATAAGGTGGAAGTCAGAGCCAAGTTACCATAAATGTACAAAAACAAATTATATGAATTCAGAGGATTCTATCATAAACAAAAGACCAGTAGCTGTCGGTTACCACAATGAAACCATGTGAGAACACGATGGAAAGGAATCCATACAATTAGGACTGGCTCAGTACCATGCAGACACTTTAAGAATGGGTAGGGCGCACACAAATGCTTGAAATAAAACATGTATTGACAAGAAGCTTCAGCCCATGAGTATACACATATCTATGAGCCTTAATACCTCTGACTAACAGATAAATCAGTGTGGATCTAAAGTGTCAATGCTGGGATGTCTACCCTTTTATTGAACAGCCATCTTTAGCGGCATTTCACATGTTAAATTAAAACCAGAAAGCTTCTTGGAAAAGCAAGCGCTTAGTTGTTGGAAGGAGTCGGTCTCTTCTGGCACATGCACAAAAAATGAGTTTAATTCTTAAAGGACTGGGTAGCTTGTGGAATTCAGTTGTGCAGAAGATGAAAGGCGAGTGTAGAGCTTGTAAATCATGAAGGGTGATGGAAAGCCTCTCAGGTACCACATCTTAGCCGGTTCAGAGTCCTTTTTTCTGTGGTCTGTGCGGTATTGCCCCAGGCTCACCTTGACAAGAAAGTGCTTATTGAATGACCAGACACTCCTATGAGTTACATTTCTATGTAATAAATCTGGAGTGGAATACATTGCCAACATATAGGCTAAAACAAAGTGTTCACTTTGCCCCAAAATGCTCCTCTGGCGTATTTGCAAATATGTTCTAGTAAATAGCAAGTGAAGTGGGACTCAAATTTGAGATGTGTGTGGCCATCAGACGGAACATGACACCGGCGCGCAAAGAGAGCGCGGAGATCAGGTTAGAAACATGCATCGCAACACAACATCTCCAAATCGCATTCCGCGTATACTGAAATCGAATCCGAGGACATCAGGATGTGTGACATAATCCCAAAGACATCTGAAAATTGCGCTCCTCCAAACGGGGCTCCAGGAGTGGTTTGGAGAAATATTTGTGGACCTCCGTTTGCTCTTGCGGGGATATATAAGGGGCGGACACCAACTGCCCTATACGTCAGAGCGCACTTAACTATAAATCTCTCCAAACTGCCCTGTGCGCGCGGTGCGGTGTTATGCGCAGACATCTGTCCCGCTTCAGTCCAGTATGAGGACAACGCGTGTGGAAACTCTTCGAGCTGCATAAACACTATCTGACCCGGAGAAATGGAGAATAAATACCCCGATCTGTGTTGTTTATCATGTCAACATATTGTCATATGTCGGCGACTATGAACATTTAACGCAGTTGTGGATATAACGGCGCTTTAACTGTTTTATCAAGAGGCAGACAAGAGCTTCTTGCATCCTGGGAAACAGATTGTTGGACCTTTGGCGCCTTGCTTTTGCACTGGAGACGCTGATGTCTTCATTGAACTCCTCTCAGTCGGAGATGGTGGAACTCTCTCGGATTTCCAACGTGGAAACGTAGCATCCAATTAATCAGCGACTGCAACTGTACCCCGTAAGGCGCAGTGGCACTTGGTACGCTCTTTTCAACACCCACCTTTGGACTCCAAAGTGTGGGAAGACGCGTGGTTTTTGCCGGATCGGAGAATGAAAAAAACAACTGGTGTGGCTTTTTATTTCTATCGGGACATTGACCGAAATTGAACTCGTTTTAAGGACAGTTTCGGAGTGTGGTTGTTGAACAATTCATGCAGCCAATTCAGCTTTGGACACTAACTGAGACGCGTTTTCTGTTTTGGATTTTAACACAGACAGCCAAGCGAGTTTCAGGTCTGCATGGGCCATATTTAAGGTAAGTGGAGCAACATATTCTTTTTCATTTTGAGAGTTTAAAACAAAATATCTTCATATCCTTCAGAATATTTTAGCGCAATACGAGACTCACTTTAGTGATTTTCGTTGAAATAGCAAATTCAAATGAAAAATGCAGCTTGTGCATTTGTTAGGACTTTTGCACGGCATTTTTAAGCACAGTATTTATCCATGCATAGCTGTTTAGGTTTACTGCAGACTCAACATGCCATTAGACAGAGTCACGTAAGCTTTGGGGATCGCCATCTGGCCAACTCACACCATTATTTAGGCTATCGTTGCCAACACGGTGTGGTGCGTGCTTTAACCAACGCATTTTTGTGTAAGGCGCACCCTCCGTGCCTCATTACAAGTAGCAAGAGCTCGCCCTCACAACAACATGAATATATTATCTAATATTCCTCATAGGTCAATAGAGAATAAGTAGGAGGCTGCTGGGAATTTTAAAACAACATAGTACTTTTACGCACACATTTACGCATTATTCATTGTATCACTATTTCTATATGTTGGGGATACCTTGAGATTATCAAGCACATAGGCCATTTTTCATTGTGATTAATCTATTTAGAATGGCCTGGTAGGTTTACGCTGATATTTATATTTACAACAAATTCCACTATGAGACGGAAACGAAGTGTTCAAAGCCTCTCGACATGATGACACAGTTATTAATACAGAATGAGTCAGGGCAGGTCTGGCCACACTGTTTCAAACTCTTTGCTGACTTTATTATGAACAAGAGTTGGCCTACATTGTGATTGAAGAGTAGGTGTATTTTTGATAACTTTATTATTGTTATTTCTTATCATTTGAAATAAAAGAGCCTCTCTTATCTTTGCAGCTTTCTTCATAGGAACTGAGGTCTAAGATGAAGTTATGGGACGTTTTGGCCACGTGTTTGTTGCTCCTGAACTCTGTTGCTACACGGCCTCTCTACCAAAACACTCAGCCAGCCAAGAGGCATTATTTCCCCAGCGGCTACAGTGATTCTGCGTCCCTGTCTGTGGAGGAAGAAGAGCCAACGTTCCAGCGTAAATATCGCAACCTGCAGGAGATCTCCATGGAGGATCAATGTAAGGCACGCGGCATGATTTGACAAAATCTTGTGTGAGGCGCAGTCACCGTCAATGGTGGATAATCGTCCCACATGGGGTTTCACATTTTAGTCTTGATCTGCGCTGCTTGTGCAAACCATTTAAAATCATTCAATCATAAATAGTGAAGCTGGCATCTTTTCATCTCATTGTCATGCAACGTGTTGACTTCCGAGAGGAAAAGTAGGCAGCATATACAGCTCATACTGTAGGTGGCATTGTGTAGAAAGGGCCCTTCAGACACCATTGGTTTGCTGGCCAAGTAATTTACACTAATCACACTTGAGAAACAGCAGGTAAAGTGATAGCCAGTGGGTTGAGCCAACAGTGGAGAGTCCTACATCGATAAGGCTCTCAGACAGGCAGGTTATCAGATGGAAGATCTTCATTTGTTTTTTTATTGCTTCTGTGTGGTTACAGCACTTGTCAAAACAAGCCTGCAGCATGAATAAGAGCATGAGCAGCTCTGATCTCAGAGGTTGCTCTCCACACATTCCCCCTTCTCCCTTTGCTTACGTTCACCTCTGCCACTCTGAAACATAAAGACCCCATGACCTTTGCCCATCTGCCAAAAGTCAGAAATGATGGGTTTAGAGATGGCAGTGTGAACCACATTGCAGGCGAGAGGCTGGACAACACCGGAAAGTTTGAAGCACCGAGTGAGAGTCCTGTGTTTATGTTCATTTTAACAGCAACAGTGGGCAGGAATTTATTTTGTTTGGATCAAAGTGACACAGTATCATCTTCACGCACGAGTAGACGCGGCCAAGAACTAGATAAGGAATGGAACATTTGGACAAATGTTTGTCCTGCCACCTCATATTCTTGTTTGGACCATGGTGACATCACTGATGTGCTTGTAACCAAAGACCATTAACTATACACTAACAGTGTAAACAAAACTTTAGCCCTAAAAGGGGACGGGTCTGTTAGTTTGCGCGTAACATCAAAGTTTTTTTAGGCTAAAATCTGCAGGCAGCAGCTGCACGAGGGGACTGATATTGTAGTATTCAGCCAATGAATTATGGCACAATTTGCACCTTGAATTGCTCCTTTGGCTGCCACTGGCCCAGTCTGTCAGCAGGTGTACACTGTAGCCACCCTGGCTGTCAGCTGACACACAATAGGAGGTGTCTAAATCAAAGGGCAGGTGTGTCTAAACAGATTGGCCCGGGCTCACCTGATATACGAGCAGCGGCCCAATCAACTGTGGAGCGCAGGCGGATCAGATGGCTGGTGTGCCGCCAAAGGTAAGACAAGAGATAGGTGACACTGCAATATGGAGGCTGTGTTAACCACAACACCACTTGCCAGATATCGCTCCCCCATTGGCCATGACTTCCTGACACACATCCAAACACTCACAGACGCACGCAGGTAAAGAGTTGGACCAATTGATTCCCTTCAGAACAATATGTCTTCATGATTCGCACTCATAGTTCATCGTTGCCAGACCTTCAGGCGTTGGGAGTAGGAGAGACTTTACCCCATAATAGAATCAACATGGAACACAGGAGGGTCCAAGACTTGCAGTCAGTTCTCATCGCTGCTCGCAGCAGATGGCGGAGAGCTGAGCTGGTGCATGTTTTGAGTTCCGAGCAGACGAAAATCTGCTTCATCTAAATGACCCAACGCATATGATTTCCTTTTTATTTGGCCTTTGAAGTGTTGGCATTCTCAAATTACATCCATGAAAGAATTAAATGGCTGAAAAACTATCTCTCACTGCGTCTCTCGTGGTGGTGTAATTGGTCTGTGCCTACTGTATCATCACAGGCAATTGGTGTGTGAAAGCAAACATGGTTAACTGCAGATGTACAGCTGAACAACCTTTAACGACTCAGGTTCCCTGAGATTGAAAACGAATGTAGGCAGCGTGCCGGCCTTGGTTATTCATGCAAAATCAAGTCTACCCACATCCCGTCATTACAGATGTACAAATCTTCTTCTTTGACTACAACAAAGTGGAAGTGACAACACCCTCTGAACTTCAGCCTCCAACTCATCCCCCATCAGCCATCTTGAAAAGAGTCAAAGCAGGGCACCTGCACTCACGTCAATAAGAACAACTCTGGACTGCTCTCTGCATTCCTCCGCCTGACATCTAATCTATAAATCAGCACGCACCGTTTCTGATCTCTCAGAGGATCTTTCCCAGTATTTATGGACATTGTCTGCATATTTTTCAACACGTGTGTGAATGGTTTGTTGAACTGATTGCTTTGGTCGAAGTGCATTTATTCAATTCTGCATGTTACGTACACATCTGTATTTGTGCATTTAAAAGGAGTAGTTTGACATTTTGGGAAATACGCTTATTCACTTGCTGGTATAGAATTAGCATGAGTTAAAATGAGAAGATCAATACCACGCTCACATTTGTACAGATTAAACAAGATATAACACGTCAGCTAATTATCTTTAGAGGTGCTAGTTGGTGAATGTTGTTACTGCTGGACAGAGCCAGTTAGTTTGTGCAACCATGTTACATACTCATTTTTTGTATACCGTGGACATTTTTCCATATTTATTGTTTATCTCACCTAGGGGTGCAAAGTTCTGGGAATGTTTAAGGTGGAAACTTTCCCTGGGAATTAACAAGAAATGACAGGAATAAAATGGCAATATAGGGGATATCTGCTCAGACTGTTCACCATGTAATATGCAGTAACTACACTTTTATCATATCACAAGCAGAAATGATCCATTATGTTATCCACGGATGTCTCAGAAAGTCAGTGATATATTATTTTAATACCAACTTTATAAGGGAATGTGTTCCTTCTCTATCTTTCAGATGACAACGCGGGTCCCTATCCGGAGCAGTTTGATGATGTAATGGATTTTATTGAGGCCACCATCGGCAGACTCCGGAGATCATCGGAGCCCAGCGGAGGCTCCAAGGGACGGAGGGAGCAGAGACAGAGGGGCGCAGCAAACACAGGAGGCGCGAGAGGCGAGAGGAGAGGACATGGTGACAGGAAGCGTGGTCGGGGACGAGGCGGAAGCCGAGGTGGGAAAGGAGGGCGAGGTGAGAAGGGGAGGGACAGGATAGCGGTGCAGACCCGAGGCTGCTTGCTAAAGGAGGTCCACCTCAACGTGACAGACTTGGGGCTGGGCTACCAGACTAAAGAGGAGCTGATCTTTCGGTACTGCAGCGGCCCCTGCGTGGAGGCGGAGACCAACTATGACAAGATCCTCAACAATCTCACACACAACAAGAAGCTGGACAAGGACACGCCCTCCCGCACCTGCTGCCGGCCAATCGCTTTCGACGATGACTTATCTTTCTTGGACGACAATGTAGTATATCACACGCTGAAGAAGCATTCTGCCAGGAAGTGTGCCTGTGTCTGATGACGTGACAGACGAGATCTACATCAGTGAACTAAGGATCACTGTTCCCGGCTGGTGGGATCTCTGTTGGACTACGGTCACACCTGGTCGAAAAAGGGAGTGTATTGACTCGTGTTTTTATTGGCAGTCAAAAACAATGGGAAAGCCATTCAAATAGCAAACTGTACATTCAACGTTGACAGTCCATGCTCAGTCCTTCAGAACCCCTGACCAGTATATGCAGGAGAAACGAGACTGTTACACTTTGCTAACTAACTGTGCTGTCTAAAAGAGGTGAGAGTGAAGAAAACTTGTTTTTGGTTTTTATAGCTCCGGAGGAATTCATTTTCCCAGGAACATCAGTTTTTCCATAGCTGCTCCTAAGACTTCAGAGGAACGCGGAGATTTGAGGAGTATGATCAGCTGCAATCTAAATTACTTTCACTGCATAGTCTGGATGTTGACATTTACATTCAGAGCCATGGGATGACAAATACCACGGCGGAGTTCAGCAAAGACTTTCTGTTGCAACGCTACATCTACATAAAATCCATTCATATATATATATACATACATAAATACATATATATGTATATATATACACACACGTGTGTGTAAGAGGTATATTTATTAAGATGGGAATTAACTTATTGTTATTTATTTCAATCCATTTTATGAAAGAAATTGTCATTTTTCTTATTTATTTGAAAGCTTTGTTTGTCCTCGACGGTGCCACTGTGGAGCATTTTCTCAAGCAAAATCTGAAAAAGGTGATCCAGAACTGCGAAACACTCGCCCACAAATCCTAATATTGCTTATTCGCTTCACTTAGATTCCAGAGTTTCTCCGTTCATGACACCAAAGGATCATCATTAGCTATCCAGTTGAGGGAGGGTAGTAAGAGACACAGAGGAGGGGACCAATAGAAGATGTTTGAGTGAATTGATTGTTTTTGAGCATTTTGAGTAGATCATTCTTTTAAACACGTCACCTCATTTTTCCAAATGTGACCATGCTAAGACAGGGGGGACTTCACACGTTGCTCTCTCGGCAAATTACGCTTTGCTGCTGTTTATTGAACAGATTGAACATCACTCTGACCAGGAGCCATCACATTTCTGAATTTGAAATCTAAAACCGACACGACAGTAGTGGTCTCTCTGAGGATCTGCAGGTGCCTCAGAGGATCCATCCTTTGAGTCACAGAGTATAGAAGCTTGCCAGGATGCCTGCCTATCAGCACACGTTACGCGAAACCTCACTCTATACTTGCACCGAGTCTGTCAAAAGGCTTTGCAGCGGTTACTGTCCCAATAGGCTTTAAATTTCCTAAGACTGCTTGTGCTTCTGTCTCGACTCTGACAGACAGGTCTTACTGCCTGAAAAGGGATTTGAAAGTGATCCTCTAACATGAGTCTTAAACCAAATATCCCCGTGGGGCAAAGCCATGTTGATGAAGGCAGTTTAAGGAAAATCCTGCAACCGCAGCGGCTGTCATCGCGGAACTGATGTAAATATCACAAGACTAGAGGCTTGGACAAACGAATATGTTTTTGGAATTAGAAGCAAGACGATGGGTAGGCTCAACATGCTTTCTACATGTAAAAACTAGTTCAGCAGAGTTTCTTCCCCCCCAAACTATACACAAATATACATCCAGGAAAACAGGCGGCATTTTGAAAGCATGTTGCTGGGCCCATCGAGACCCTGCGAGGGGATGGTTTTAAGTGGAACAAAGAGAGCCCCCGGGTAGGTCTTGATATTAGCACGGATTAGGGACCAAGGTATCTGTGCCCACCCAGCAGCAAGCAAGCCAGCTTTACTGTGTAATCCCCCTGCACACAGAACAAATCCACTGCATCAAGCTGAATTAAGGCCAAACACTACACACAGAGAGAGAGAGAAAAAAAATCTAGCTTTTATCATAGCATACCTCATCAATTGGATCATCTTCCCCTTTAACAACTGATTCGTGTATAAGCCTTTCCAGATGAGAATGTGCACTGAGGAGTCTTCCCAGAAGCCTCAGAGCGCCTCGCTTCTCCTCGATACCATACATTAAAGTGTGTAAACTGTGACCACTGGCCCTCTCATCTTCGTGACCGGTCGCTCCACTGTTCCTTAGCGATTAGTCCTTTGGTGAGACAAGTAAAAAAAAAAAAAAAAAAAAAGGTAAAGATGCGAAGGAATCCTCGGTGTTAATATTCCAAGGATTGGATTTCTTTTTTCACTCCTTATTGTGTTAACACCTGTGTCATGTCGTCCCATTTGTTTTGTGTTACAGAACCAAAGCTGTCTGCAAACTTTATTTTTGTACAATATTCATTTTATAACTTTTTACAGAATTAAACTTGTTTCTATTAAACAAGCGTGTCTCCTGGTATTCTGCCGTGTACAATAACGCACCGGTGCCAGATGGTGCTAATTTGCCTAGCATGTGTTTACACAAGCATCATGTAAATTTGAGGATTGAAAATTTGGGTTGTATGGAGAATTGCGGGGATGGTTTTGAGAGACGGCCCTCTGCAGTGTGGCGTGCATTCCTGAACACTGGCCCAGGGTCGTACCCGTAAACAAAAAGCCCGCCATAAAGCGCCACTGAGCTGTAAATTAAGGCGCTCAAGAATGTTTCCACCGAGCAAAGAAGATCTGGAAATGCTGATGAGAAGATGGCAGCGGTACAAACAGGGAGTCATTAAGCAGGGGCTCAAGGTGTGTATACAATGTGTAGTTTAAGTAATACAAGAGATGTTTAACTTCAAGACAAGTCTCAATTCTTGTAATACAAAAGGCACAAGTCTCACAAGTTAAGTTTCAAAAATGTCGAGCCTCTAAATACTGACCTAAATCTTTTATTTATTTTTTGAATCAAAGCCGTTTAAATGCTGTTTTTGTTTTCAATATCACATGTCTCTTCAGTACTGAGGCCTAGTAATTAAAGCTGCGTTCATCAGTAATTTGATATCAATAATGGAACAAATGACCATGTGTATGTAAAAGCCGCTGCTCATAGTGACAGACAAATACAGGAAATCATCACCAAACTCAGCTCATTGTTTTTGGTTTTACAGCCCACAACTTTAATGTTTTGGTCACGTTTCATTTCCTTCCTTCAGCATCGTTTTCTGACGTAGGCATCCGCCTTCAGCTCTAAAAACCCCAAAAAGCAGACAGATTTATCAACCAAACATTTTAGCAGCTAAGCGGACATACATGGTGTTGGTTGAGACCAAAATCAGAGCTAAAAGAAGAGTGAATATTTGTCAATTAGGAAGATATAGAATATCATCAGCCGTATCCTTCAGTCCACAAATCTGGGTCCAATTTGTTTGTTCTCGTCAAGTTAAATGTAATTTTATCCATCATAGTATCTGGGCCCGACAGTAATTGATGATTGCTTGCGGCCACAAAAGAAAGCTTTCTTGGGTAGAGAGATGGCCAATGAAAACTAGTCACGACGAGGTCTGTGGAGTATTTCGAATAAAACTATCTGGGGTTGAGTTTTTCTAACATTTTGATGCTTCGAGAAGCACAAAACCAGCATTCACCTTCTCTGTATTGCATAGGCATAACACAGCAGGTACTGTAAGTGAGAACGTGTTTGTACATTTGGATGAACTGACCCTTTGCCTGCACCTGGAGGCTGTGGTTTCAGCTCCACACATGGCTTTCTCTCTTCCACGTGCCAACTGGTTCATCACACGCCGATGGAGTGAATCAATCGGCGGTCGCTCTTCACCTCTTGCTGAGGGTTGAGAGCGCTTTTTGTCAAGTCGAGCTTGACGTCAGCCCCCCACCCCCCCCCCCATGAAGCCCATCTCATCTCAGCTCACCACTTTAGTTGCTCTTAAAAACATCATAGTTTTAGTCCTTCCATATTTCTTGTCCTGGTATTTCTCTGTCTCGTATTCATTTTATGGCTACAGGAAGTTTGCCAGGACACTGAGACATTAGTCTGCCTGTAACTTTGGTTGGCTGGGAACTCAAGACTGCTCTAGTTTCACCCCCGAGTAGAAAAAAAAAAAAATCAAGATGTATACAGTGAAATTGACCATGTGGCTGAAATTTCTATTACAAACTAGTTGCGGAGGTTGCACTCTAGAGAGATGAATAAAAAACACAAACATGTGTTTGATTAGATCTGTATGTTGCGGTTTGCTCTGTCAGTTGAAATATCTTTGGACACTCTGCAGGTCATTCAAAGACAAAATATAGGTTTTCCGCATGCAGAACAGTACAGCTACTTCCGGATGGAACAAACAATCGAACAAAGAGATATTGTTTGTTTGCAGCCACGCCCAAGTTTAACATTTCAAATTTAAGAGTGAAAGCAATCGGAGCCGCTAGAAATATGATGCAATTTGGTGATGGTTCAATATTTATCTTTGAGTAGTTGCTTGAGAAAACGATCTTAACTTAAGGTTGTATTATTACGATTATTTTAAATTTGAATCATGATTTCTTATATATTCATCAATATTAGAAAATGCAGCAGTTACAACAAAGTTTACCTAAGCAATAACTTCGCAAAAAGTTGCTTGTAAAAACTTTATTTAAAGCCGTGAGTCAAAACACCGGCTTTGGCCCGGACTGGGTGAACCAGATATCTGCAGGATTAAGTCAGTGCCTCATAAAAAACATATCTGGCAGAAGAAAGCTGGTAAAAAAACTGAAATATCACTTTAATTTGTGGTAAAATATATCACTATTTGACAAGAGAATACAAATGACTTTCTATAGGTCTTGAGGTGAAAACTGCACAGCTTCATAAAGTCTAAAACCCTGAAAAAAAAAAACGAATTGGCTGCAAGTTTGTGTACTTCTTTGCCATTTACTTTTTACAAACTAGCAAACTGTTCTTCAGAGCTGATGAACACAACCAGGCCACAAAATCTGGAGACAATTCATGAGGCATTAGCAAACTGGAGATGTGGGAGGACAGAACAATAGAAATTATGAATATAAAGTCCATGTAATCAAAACAGACATAAAAAGCCAAGTTCTTCCAGAGGATGAATTGCAAAGCGAAGGAGTAGAACATAAAACTATATTATGCTTGCACAGTAAAAAAAGAAAAGAAAAACCTGCACATTTATGTGCTATCCCTCGACACAGAAGCACATAAACACATGTATGCAAACATTACAAGAGGGAGGACAGAGACTGTTCAATTTAGTGACATAATTGATGCTTCTATGCAGTGTCGGATAGTAACTCCGTGTTTTGGGATTGATCCCGAGACCTCTGGGTTACGATGATATATACACACAAACACAAGCCCACCCTGTCTGCTGTTCTATACAAAACGAGCTGCTGTTGATGCACCTCAGATCTTGCGTTTCTTCCACTCTGGTTCCTTCTCAGCTTCCTCATCCTCCTCCGAGTCCTCTGCAAACAAAGGCACTGGCTGGGTTCTAAAGGGGGCGGGGGGGGGGGGGGGTAATGATTTAACAGGTCTTTTCAGACAACTTCACAGAAAAGCAATAAACTTCAAATGTAGATAACCAGATAACAGAGCTATGAGGCCACAAATGGTTTACGACATTTATTATTAGAATTTGAGTAACTTCTTCTGTACTGGCCAATTTGGGCTTCAGGAAGTTCAGGCTGTAACTCAGAAGAACAGTAGACCTGCCTGCACAGGCCTGTTCCTCCGAGCAGAGCAAAGAGAGCTGTGATAGTGACTGTTACTTCTTGAGAGAGCTCAGCAAACTGGCTAAAGTGATGCACTTTATCAGATCAATCTACTATAATGTATATCCCCAGTCTATTATCTTTAACTAGAGATCGTTTCCTTGCATTATGTGAAACAATCTGTTGAGATTTGGCTCAAAGCTTTGTTTTGACGTTTATGTAGCAGTCTGAGTCCGATAGTGATCTAAAGTTGTCCATTACTCTCCGTTCTGCAGTGTAAAGTGTATATCTGTCAAACTGCACAACTCTTTAAACATTTATGTGTCACACCGGTAGGAAGAAACCCAAGTACCATTACAATAGAGTAAGCAGCACTCCCGGTACTCGTCTTACACTGTCTGCTAATAAGAGCAAAGCCAGAGGCTGAATGCGAGAGGAAACGAAGAACAATGAGGTGGACAGGGAGAGTGTAAATGATTCATAGTGATGATATAAGGGGGTTCTTACTGTTTGTATGCCGGGGCAACCCAGTAAGGGTTATCTGAAGCTTCCTGGGCGTGACGTAGGATGGCCTGTCGGGGGTTACTGTCATCCGTTTTATCTAAAGCGATGTTCTTCACGATGAATGAAGACAGAGTGCCACCATGAGCTGCTACTCTTCCTCCTCGACCTGTCAGGACACATAATCAATATCGTATTAAAAACACTGTGTGACTACACCACGGCACACTATTTTAACAACTCACACAGAAGCAAAGAATTATCACAATCTGAGTTTTTTTATTACTTTAGGTAGAATTTATGTAAACTCTTTGCATTCTTGCTCCAGAAGGGAAAAGCTTGCTGCTTTCCAGAAAGGCCATTGTTATGGTTGTCTTTAAAAGGTCAAGAACAGGCGTCACACATGCATGTGAGCATTCCCGTAATTAAACACACAGGGTTTCCTTCTAGAGTTGGGCAGTGACGTTGTTTGGGGGATTGAAAGGCAAGTTTTCCTTTTGCTTGTAAGCACCAGCCAACCGCCAAACATTATCTTCCACTTATGCAAAGTCATTTCACACAAAGCATAAACAATATAAAGACAGCCTGTCTTCTAAAAGCCTGGCCTGCTATCGAGTAGTTAATCCTATTTTTATAGAATGGAGCTACATTTTCATTTCATGTCTTTCTCCCAACCCTATATGTTTTAATACTTTATATACAAAACGATTCATTGTCATTTAGCTTAGCAGTGTTCCATGAAAAGGCTTTATTGAGTAAATACAGTTTTTATTACAATAAAGAAAGACAGATGTATTGAATATGTTATATATGTCAATAACGTATTTTGAGTGCAAATCATGTTATTTGCCTTATTGTGCTGCTGTGGCTTTTTTTTTGGGTGGTTCTGGCAGGCAACATTTTCGTGACACCCTTTTTTAAATGTTGTATTTTTCTTGTGGGGAAAAATAAAACATTTGAACTGTATTACACTGTGGATCTATTAGATTGCTTTGAGTACAAAGTACTGAAGAAATAAGTGAGTGAAAAGTGGGAAAAACTAATAAAAAATAGCAGCAATGAGCCAACTGGAACCAAATGAAGCAGGAAATAATGTCTGGCATCTCGGCTCATTGGAACTAAGTTCAGACTGTAGCCATGACCGTGCATAGGTGTGGCGTTTGTTAAAGTGTGTATTAAAGTAGCAACACAAACAGATTGACCATGGGTCCTAGAGGAAGTTCACAATGCATCATTGTGTCCCAGCAGTTAATAATGTGAGGCAACAGCAGGCTGAATCCTTGAGAGGCCAAGTGGGAGCATTGCTGGTACAACTCTCGACTTCAGCCCGGTTGCATAATACCGAACACATCATCAACTGTGGATTTGTATATCTGCCTCAAACAGTCATGTTTACTGGATGATTCTAACAATATGATTTGAAAAGCAACGGTAGAACTGTAGCTGTACCTCGTTACTATGTTTTAGATTTTGCTCATTCGTGGTTTTTGCTTTGTCTTCCAGGGACACTCAATGTACACGGGATAGCTTGCCTTTCCTGTTACCTGTTTTCTTGTTATTTAGTTTATTCTGTGAGGTTTATGTTTTGCACTAATAAAAGCCACAATAAAAAAAGAAAAGCCCAAATGCACTTCACCTGGTCCCGACACAGGAGGCTCGGGTTTGTGGGATTTCTTTGGATCAAGTCGGTCCTTCTCCAGCTGTTTCCGTGTACTCCGCTGCCGGGCCTCTCTGAACATGGGTAAGGCATGAGCTGGAGACACACAGGGTAAACAAGGGTAATCAAGTTGCTTAGGTAACTGCGAGATCACATAACACAGCCGCACAAATAAGCAGACGGGGCACCTGGCAATATGCGTTTGTTGCTCATGTGAGGAGCTACGCTGCTGAATGAAGACAGAATGCAACGCTGACATTTCACAGTGTTTTTATACAGCAAATGCAGAAACACAATCTCACCTGCTCCCACACCTTGCAGGAGATACGCAGCATTTACGCAAAAATACACACACACACCTGTTGAGCTCTGGCAGGATCTCTCCTCTTGTGTACTCTTTCTGCCACGGTGCACACCAACATATTCATTATATCCCCCATGTTTAGACTGAGACAATCACTCTGCCACTCTTCACACTTTTGTGAACACTATCACAATAAAGGACCCCAGCACTTAAATCCACGAGTGTGTGAGTGAGCATGTGCATGAGTAAGTGTGAATGAGTGTTCCCAAAGGTGTGTGAGAAGGAGAGACTGAGTGCGTGTGAGAGAGAGAGAGAAAGAAAGAGAGAACGAGGGAGAGAGAGAGAGAGAGAAAGAGAGAGAGCGAGCGCGCCAGCATTTGTGTTTGTGTAAAGTGAGTGTATGCTCTGCTCTTATCCTCGGGGTTACAAAGAGACACTTTAGTAAAGGGCTAGATAAAGTGATTTTCCATTCAGGAGCCCTGTCGCTGTTCAGTGTTAATTCTTCTCCTCCACGCTACATTAAGCAAAAAGGTTACTGTTAACAGATTCCCTCGCTTTTCTCAATGGGCCATCACTTGCTTCCTGTCCCCTCTAATTTTCCAGTGCCGGGGCATCAAGTGCGTCACTCGCCGCTTGTGGCAGTCAAACGCCGGCCTATTTCACACCCTGTTGGCATGGCAATGAAATCACACGATGCATCTGAAGAGGCTGCGGTAGCCCAAACAATAAGCGGCGTCTGAATTGGGTCCTAGCAGCCAATCAGGGACGACGTGTCAGCAGCTTGTGTATGTTCATGACTTCACTGTGGGGGCAAAGGAGCATGAGGCACGCAGTAAAGAGATGACAGCCTCGTGTGTTGGTGATATGACAGGGTGACAGGTGGGGGGGTAGTTTGTGTGTGTGTGTGTGGGGGTGGATCAGGCGGAGATCACGCCAGCAGAGGTGGGAGAGGTGGCCGTTCCTGGCGTGATCCGGCGTGACTGCAGACCACATGGCCGGCGCGTGGCACAGTGCCCCGCGGCTGTCGATCCACTTATCCACACCCTGCTCCATCAGCTAATGGGCCCGTGAAAGCCCTATACACTCTCATTCCTCGCAAAGCCCTCGGTATGTGTGTGTGAGAGAAGCAAGAGAGAGGTAAGCACGTAAACAAAGGTTGGTATTTTTGTTCTTTATAACTAAGAAAGAGGATTCTTAGAATATGGTCCACTTGTCACATCATGCACTTGGAAGACGGCTACCGTTGTTTTGAGGATTGGTAAAAAAAAGGCGCAGTGCCTTATCATGTAAAGAGCAGATGGGTTAGTGGCTCAAGGTGGACTAAACTGCTGGAGGGCTTTGAGAAAGGCTCTTCACGTTAATTGCTTCAGTAATTGTTCAGGGCCATGCACGCCAAGGCAAGATAGCAGGGAATCATGTGCCACGTAAATTCTATTATTCTTAGAAGGTATGAATTAAACAGATTGTGAGAGTTTGAACAGGCATGGAGGAACTTACGTGTGATGATGTAATCTTGCGTTAGCGTCTCGGCTTGTCTCTCTTTCCGCTGGCTCTTCACTACACACAGCTTAGCCCCCCTGCAAAAGAGACCGTTTGTTACAAATGAGGCTATTTGAACGTATCACACAGAAAACAAGAGATCAAGGGTAAAGCCTTGTTTTGTAGTTTTTCACTCACATAAAGAGACGTAAACCGACAATTCTTTGATTTTTTTGTCAACAATAGAATTCTATGGCGTGACAGCAAGATATTTCAGGCTGTGGCTACACAGACAATAAGTATAAAGATAAATTCATTGTTGTTTTTAGTGTCTTTTAGGGGAATTGTTACGAAAAAAAGGTAAAATAACACCAGCCTTACATATAAAACCGAACGCACCTGTGGCTTTTAAGAGGGTCATAGTAGACTTTGGCCAGTCCATTTCCAGTTCCCACCATTATCTGGTTAAGTTTTGGGTGCCACAGACAGCGGACGACGCTCTGGAACACACAGACAGAAACAAAGTGTTGAAAGCGTTTTTTTGTACAGTAACTGAAGGTAGTGCATGCGAGAACAGCAGCCCACAGCAAGTTGTGAACTACTTTTTATCTGCTGTGGTTCAGATTTGCAAGGATGTGAACAAAAGGTAACAATCATATTCTATTGTCTTAAGTATTGTGAGCGTGTGTGACCCAGGTTTGGTTGTGGTACTGTGGGGATCAGTCCCAGCGTGCTCTGCTGCTCTAGTTGACTATATTTGGTTGTTGGGATGAGGGCTGGATCCCTCAGTCTGTGTGTGTGTGTGTGTGTGTGACAGATGGCCCAGTGCCAACAGGCAAATGTGACCACATTTATCCAGAGGTGTGTGTATGTGAGGGAGCGATAGAGACAGAGAGCCAAAGAGGAGTACAGAGAGAAGTGATGAAGACCCTCTGTTCATCCTGTGACATGTGAGCTACAGTGGAGAGCTGGACTCCCTGCAGCAGTGCCTCTTTTCTTCACGCGTGTTATTAAAGCATCACAACCTCCGGTGACGACTTCTGTTAGCGTATGCACATTTATATTTATTTGCTGTGGTTTTGTATGTCCTGTAGCTGCATCGATTTTTTTTTTAGAGAGGGAGCATTTTTTTTTTTTTTTTAAATGTGGAACAGAGAAGGCAATCTGGGGGCGGGGGGCGCGGGGGTCTATGACAGGGGAGCAGGATGGGGGGTGGGTAGGTCTACGACTGGGACGTCCAGATTCTGTGACGGTGAAAGCTGCTTAGCGCCCAGCTGTTCAGCTTCCCGCCAGGATACCACGGGAAGGAGTCTTTATCTCTCACTCACACACACACACACACACACACACACACACACACACACACACACACTTCATGAAAACTACGAAACACAACGTTAAGTGATAATATAAAACAATACATCCAACCAATATTTCTCGCAAGCACGCAACATAATTAAGACTTAAATTCACTCACAATCTGCTTCAATTTTACACCAGCCTTACACATACACTCTGGTTCTACGCTATCAGACCAACTGATCGCTGGTGTGCAGCTCATGGGACAGATGACGGTTAATCTGCTCAACCAGATCATGAGCCGGCTGTAATTGATAGAAAGATCTGGAAAATGCTTTAAACGGGACGTAACACGAGCCTCACATATTCCAGTAACACACCGGTAGATAGATGATAACATGTAGATAAATAAATAACTGGAATAAATAGCTTAATAAGCACAAATATAAATATGTTTGCCCTGTTTTATCTGAGCATAAAAACTGTTAATTAAACTGTGAAAATCTGCTGTATTTGTCCTAAGGCAGATGCTGATCCCATAGAACGCTCACCACTTCTAAAAACATGTGTCAACATGTATGCATCAATTGATCTTCACCCTGTGATTGTGCTTCCATGTAAATATCTAATGGATTATAAATTGCCCCATCAGCGTTACTAAAGCAACACGGACAGTCCCTACATGCAACGGAAGGCAGAGACAACAGTTAGGAATTTTGGTTACACTCCGCAGGTACTGTCAAAGTACAACATAGCATGACCCAACTCAGGCAGTAAAACCCCCAAAAAACCCCATCACAGCCAGGTAACGGCAGCCCAGCCAAGTTCAGAAAACAACCTCAGACCAAAACAAATCATTCTGTCAGTGGTGAAACATGTCGAACGGAGCAGCTCAGTGGGGCCCATGCACAGCTGGATCCACTGAGCAGCCCGGAGCCAAGCACAGCTCAGTCCGGTCCAACAGTAAAAACTGCTCTCCAGATATTCAGAGCAGCATGTTTATACTCTAGGAACCACTGTTTATGCTTCACGTCCACAAAATTACATCACATCATGAAGGAGGAAACTTTAATCAGTTCTGCAGTAGCAGCCTTCTATGTCCCGTCAGATTAAAATACCTAAGTCTGATTAGGGATAAATAAGACAACAGCCACTTGCCCGACATGTACGACGATTATGAAATAAAGTTATGCAGCACTAATGGGACACAACCGTCACAGCTGTGCTCCTTGTTTAGCCGCTGGTGAGTGGATCCACATGTGCAATGCTTCTGACTAGCTTAGCTACGCAGGCCAACTGAATTCAGTAGGAGGAAGGAGAACTCTAGGCTTAGCACCTCAGCTGCACACTGAGTGGGCACATGTCCGAGAAATCTGTAGTTAGGATGAACTGCCTCACTGGAACAACGGGCTTTTTACATTATGCAAGATTTACTTGGGTGAGATGCACAAGAAAGAACATAGTTAAGGCCTCCCTTCTACCTTTCAAGCTTGGCTGCTCTTACGGAGGATGAAAGGCCTCCCTGAAGAGCAAGGCACCGGGAGCAGCTCATTGTTTAATAAGAGCTATCAAGCGTGACATGGTAGGAGAGCAACGAGTGAAGGTGGCCCCCAAAAACAGTCCCATTCCATTCAGAGAAACACCATAAACAGGGCTAATCAATGATTCTTAAGCTGCACTCCTGAATCTAACTTCTGGAAGTCAAACTGAATATCAGGCATCAAAACGCCCAAATACCAAGCATAAGAATATCATATTAGGGATGTTCTGATGCCACGTTCATCGATCCCAAAACAGATACTCAGGATTTTGGCTATTACGGAGTATGGATCACTGAATAGATCTGATTAGGATCATTCTTCTGTGTAAGGTAATAAAGCTGTAACTACACCTTTGTAACTATAAGTTGGATGCACCAACACTCTTTTTTTAGTTTGTGCAAATATACATTTTTCTCAAAGGTTGAGTTTATAAAATGTGATTAATGACAGTGACCAATAAACAGTACGTAATATCGTTACCCAATCCATTTAATAAGGGAATTAATGGCACACGTGAGAATCTGGTGCATCAAATTGGAGCAGCTTTACACTTTTTATAAAACATTTTAGGGGCAACTTTTATGCCGTTATCGCATAACAACAGTGGAAAGAAGACAGGAAATGAGGGACAAAGATGCAACCAAGGTCCTCGCCGGATTTGCAAAGTACAGACAATCACTAAATACTGGAAGATATACTGGAACATGCGCGCAAGCTGAAATGTGAAAACATTCATACATACAGCACCCAGAACTAAACGCACACATTTAGAGAAAGTGCACGGGGGCTGCAGGTTTAAGTTCCATTTGAAATCCAGCCAAGAGCTCGGCCCTTTGATAGTCAGCATGGTCTCACCTGGTTTCAGCCCCTTTTGATGAACTAAGATAAGCTTAAGAGTAGCTGAAGTATTTACCAAATGGACCTAAAACAGCCTCTGCTCTCAGGCATACCCCAGAAACTCCAGGTCTGGGGTTATGTAGACTGTTTAGTTAGAAATGATTGGTGGCCCTTCCTTTCACTCGCCTAGCTGGTACGCCACTTTATAAAGACTGCACTTAAATTCTTCGGCCATCCGAGAAGCAGACAGCTGATGTAAACATAGTAAATAGCACATTCATCAGGTTCACTGAGTGCATGTCAACCAGAAATAACTGATCTACTGCAAAACTAAATTTCCCTGAATCTAAATTTATATTTTAGAAAAGGGGGTAAAGCTGCCGATACCCATTGGCGTGGGCGGTACAGACACACTTAGATTGTAATGGTGATGGTCAGCGGGTTGGGAACATGGATGTGTGAAGAGAACTGGATGCAGCGTCGGAGGCGGCGCGTCCGTCCATTCCTATGAAAGTTGCTCAGTAGCACATAAAGCCAAAAAAAGTTGGACTTCCAAGTAAAGAATTCAGATCAAAATACCCGGGTCTTACGCAACCATGGGGCTGATAGAACAAGCACACTATCGCTTTCTTTGAACCCGCCTCCCAGCCCTCGGTCCAGCCTTGTTCTCAACTCCTTCACATGAACAAAGGAACAGAATAACTCTGGATTTGGCTGTTAGTGCATTTTACTTTTAGAACCCAATTCAAGTGTTTGTACTTGGAAGTTGATTCACTTCAAAAAAAAACATTCCCACTGAGTTACATTGGCCCAAATAATGGCAAAATGGCAAAACAATAAACTAAAATGTCTATATGCTGTATTAAAGTAATTGATCTCAGTTGTCGACGAGGGGTGATTATTACCATTAACGGCCACTTACTACATTTTCTCCACCACATAATGTATTTTCTCTGGTTGTCTCTATCCATGTGGACAACCAGCTCAACATGTTGACACGCATAAAGCTTTTATGTACACAAAAGCAATGAAATGAAACTGCTCAAATATGTGAAAGGCTTCCAACAGATATTTTCATAGACCTCATAGCTGTAGTTCCTTTGAGGAACAAAGCATTATTAAAGTATTTAAATCATTACCATATAAGTTCTGAGAGGTTACAATTAAAAGATTTGAAAGCATTGCCAAGGCGATTGGCAGCTGGTGCCGTTTCTAGACCGAATTGTTTTCTATGGCACTGGGTGTGATTTTGTGGGAAATCTGCTGGATTTCTGTGCAGACAGGAAGAGGTTTTGCTGTTCATCCAGTGAAAGTGAGCTGAAGCTTTCAGCGCTTCTTACAATGGTAGATGGTGGAACGAGTGAACGGCCAATGGAAAAATGTGTTCCAAATGTTTTATCCTCTTCAGTACAGGGAAAAGATAAAACGTCCATGGAGTGATGTTAGGTTCTTTACAGACTCTTTGACCCAAAGTGTCTGAGGTCTTTCTTTGATGCCGCCTATAGCGATATCGTCTTAAAGCTAATTCTGTTTATGTAGACTCTGCAGGAAGAACTTAAACTGAACATGTGACGCTGATCACTGCTTGATCTAAATGACAGACCTCCATATGCAACATATTGTGCAGATCAATAATACCACCTACTGTCTGTTAGTGACACCATTAACACTGAACATTCAAAAGTAAAATGTACTTTGATTGGAGGAGAGAGGAGAGGACAGGTAGAGTGGCAACATCATCTCCAGAATCAAGAACATGTGGCTTTGATTTTTGAGAAACACTTGCAGCCAATAGAGCAACGTTACTGTGAGACAGAGATAGTTGTTGTTGTTTCTCCTGAATGAAGATAAACCAAGGTACTGACCGACTGTGTATATAGTATTGCTAAAGATAGCACCTTCAGTCAATTCTATGTTAACATAATTATTTATTCTAACTTCAGACGAGCTCACACTAAACTTTCATTTTAACAGTTGTCCTTTTACATACATTCACATCTTAAATAACACTAAAATCATATTTAAGTAAGGATTACAACAGATTAAAAATTATTTATTCAAATGAAGTTTAAATCTCAGATTAAATGGGTCAACTAAAACACAGTCCACCCTCCTCTCCCCTCAGTTAGTGCTGCGGGGTTTGCACTTAGTGTCAATGCTGTGCCAAGGTTTGCAAGCTAACAGCAGCTGGCTGGCAGGGCAGAGGGATGTACAGACACACAAACGGGGCTTTTGTCTCTTTCCCTCCCTCCAACACGTTCAGTCAGTGGCAGATTTAAAAGTGTCACGTCTTAGCCAGGGAGACCAAGTTAGAAGCCATTAGCCTCGGTCGGACCTCAGTGTTATGACTACAGATACACACTGCTGAATCTGTTGAAAAGGATAGACAGAGGAGGAGCAGGAAGCAACAAAAAATAAATAAAAGTATTTCTACTGAAGACAGCACCTCTGCCCTTCATTTTAGCGCCTATGGCTAGTTGCCCTCACCAAATGGATTTCTGAGAAAGCAGGATTAGTAAAGTGCATACTATGCTAACGTGTTTGACGGTGTAGCACACGTGAATGGAACATGCCGATTGTGTCCGTACATAATTTAATTTCAAATGTAACTCAAAAGGCATATAAAAGCGTCAGGAGCTGTCCTGCCAAAGGTTTGTGGGAATGACTTGCAGTAAGGAAAGGTCACATTACTCCACTTTCTCCTAGCTTGCCTCTAAACCATATTTTAAACTTTCCTCCTCCTTTGCCTTCACTCCCCTCCTTATTTCCCCCCCCAGAAACACAGCCACGTCTATCTTTCAGGGTGAAGATGGAGAACATACGTGTTCTGTCTCTCTAAATTCCTGTGGTGTACACTACTATGGGTTCGAATTTAAATATAAATAATAGAGCTGGAATAATCCTGCGTTGGGTTAAATAGAAAGTTAAATAAATCTCCATATCAGGCCAGTGAGATCTGTTCGGCTGTCATAATGAGGACTGTTGTTGTGTTCTCAGGGAGATATAACCAAACAAAAACATATGAAGGCTGCAGTTTTGTTTGAGCCAAGACTACTTACGTGGAGGAGGAATGACATGCACATCGGTTTCATTATGTTTTCCATTGTGTATTCATTGTGTTTCTTTTCCACTGCAAATTATTTAGGGTAATTTCGGTTTGTAACCAAAATATCATACCAACCAGTCGAAAAACATCTTGCCATAAGAGCCGTTGTGGTTGTGGAGATTGAGGCGGGACTTACTGCATTGGTGACTTCTATTTCATAGACCTTCTGAAAGGAAGTTCTGTCGAAGAAAACTAACTTCCCGTTTCCCTGCTCTCTTTTCACAGAGGTCCCCGTTACGAGAAGCTTGTCGTCGGGGCTAAAACAGCAGTCAGTCCTAATAGAGACAAAAACACAATTACATCATCATCAGTTCACAATCCACACACAGTTTACAGTCGTTAAGATGAAAGTTAAGAATTCTCACATTGTAAAGTTGTTGCTCAGTCCGGTAGCTACATTCACAGGCTTCCTGAAGTTACGTATGTCCCACATCTTGAGAGTGTCATCCCCTAGAAAAAAGATCGAGACAACAGGTCAACTAGAAATTGTGATATTTACAGAAAGTCACCACAGTGGAACTTGACTATACAACAAGGTTGTAAGAGATATTTTTCATTTACATGACAGAAATATGTTGAGTGACGGACTCTTGCACAGAGATTCCGGTTTGTCTTTATGAAACCTCCTGACTAGATCACGTACCGAAGAGGAACTCAAGTGTTTGTGTTTACATCTGTTCCGTGTGTTGTTGGTGGTGGTTCCTTGTATTTTGCACAGGAAGAGAGAAGCTTCTCCTGTCACTTTGGATGAAGCAGCAAGTATTGCACCTAAAAACTGGAGGCTTTGAGCTTGGCTGTGTGCAACTGCTGGCTGCCGGGTTTGGTGGATACTGTAAGATAAAGGCCTTTTTTTCTTACCTCCACGTGAAGCGAGAGTCCTGCCATCATAGGAGAAGGAGATGCAGGAGGTGTCTGATCCTGGGATGTGTGCTTGCCGACAGTGGAACTTTGTATGGACCTAAGAGGAAAAAGAGAAAACAATGCATCGGTATAGTTTATGACCGGCAATGAATGGGTCAAATAAGTTTTAAACGCCATTTGATTATTCCCGGTGATGTGCTTGGTCTTTATGAAAGTGAAAGGCTCGTACAGAGGTCATGCTAGCAGCAACTCACTCCTGTTTGTGTTCAATAGCAGGTGCGTTAAGTGGCAAAAGAAGAAATACTTGAGCAAATCCAGAATGTATTTATACACAGCTGATCACAGACAAGTCTCGAACGACATTGCAGAGACGGAGCAAACCTAGACCCGATGAAATTCATCATTCATTACAGAACAAAATGAATAAATTGTGCAGCCCTGGCTCTCTTTCCATAAACACGCCGCCTTGGTCACTGCTGCTCATCAATATTAAAAAGAACTCTTATAATCTCCTGATGGGCTGCAGTATCAAACTGCCAATGAGTCTTTACAGTTGCTAACTGCAGTAACAAAAAGACCTTTTCACTCTCCGTGCCGTCAAAACAACACACGGTTTCAATTTCCTCGATGAACACCATACTATATATTTAACTACGAAGCCCACTTCAACTTATGAAATACCAGCAACTTTACACACTGTACCCACCGCACTCTTTAGCAGGACTACAGACCGCAGAGATTTACCTTGGCAGGCGTAGGTCTGCGAGAGATTTTTCCCTTGCCCCTACCTGAAACAGTATGCTAATAGTCAGACTGCGGGCGGTTTATTAGCCGCTAACACACATCAAACCCTTTTACCCTCAGCTCCGGGCTAACATCTGCATTTTGATTCTCTCTCATTATAAGCCACCCTTCAACAAGTGTTGTGTCCCAAGGGTCGGCCAGGAACAACTACTAGTCCTGAGTGTCGCATCAAAAATATCAACAACCCAACGGAACTAATTACAAAAAAATGGAGATGTGCCAGAAGCATAGGAGACAGCAGAGTAGGTTGAAAAGATTGGAAAAAAAACAACTGTGGGCTAGAAAGTAAATAAGTAACACACTCTTAAAAACAGTTAAAGTCAGGTTGCTATCAATGGGGAGGACTACCCTGCCTGTGTCTTCTGTGGTTCTAAAAGGAGTCCGAGTATGTGAGAGCACAAGTAATTCTGAAGCAGAGACGGCGATCATCAGCTTACAATGGAAGAGGAGAGTTTTACCGCCCCCAGCCATCGAGGTCTTCGTCGGGCCAATCATGTGCAGAATCTTGCCCGTGTAACTATTTCCTCGGCATGTGGCTGTATATGAGAATGACATCTTACTCAACTTGGCTGTGATGATCAGCATGCATCACTGAAAACCAAGAAGGCCAGGTGACATTTCAGCTGAGGTCATTCTATAGAGGTGAGAACAGACAGAGTGGAATCTCACCGTTTGTCGCTCATGTGGGGTAAAAAACGATGAGTTGTTTTAAAAGGTTTTAGGAGAAGCTGTTGTTGGCCTTTTAGATCCAGTTTGGAAACAATTAGAAGTTACAATGCACCCAATTAAAAAGTAATTAATCCCAGCCACTGCAGCAATGCCCCCCCCCCCCCCCCCCCCCCCCCCCCCCCCCCCCCTTCTCTGCAAACAGAAGCATTCAAGCTTCTTGTTGAAGCAGCTGTTTTCAAGATGGCCAGGCGTGCAATGTACCTTCTCAGTGCTCACTCTGAGCAAGTAGTGTACTACTGTAGTGCGGAGTGTGTGTGTGTGTGTGTGCCAAGGTCTGCAGCTCTAGGCTGGAAATAACCCAGCCCCCCCCCCCCCCCCCACCCCCTCCCCCCACACACACACACAGATTATTCTCTCTATCTTTCTCACACATACACACAAGAGGAGCAGCAAGAAGAAAAGCTCTCCAAAAGTACACAGCAACCCATAATGTGGAGAAGGAACCGAAGTGAAAAAGGAAAACACGAAAATGTTCAAATTCATCTTACGCTAGCCAAACTCAAGTGTATACATTTGTTATGTGGCAGTAAAAAGTTATAGCATTTAGAATTTTTCATTTGTTTAACTCTAGATTATATAATTAGAGATATACGAATTATAATTTTCATTGTCGATTAACCTGAAAAGACTTTCAATGAATCATTTAGTCTACAAAACGCACATTTTACACAAGAACCCATGGTGACGTCTTCAAACTGATTGTTTTCTCCGGCCAACGGTCCAGAATTCTAATTTTTTTCATGCACAAATATGTAAAGCTCAGAAAAGCAGCACATTCTCACATTTAAGACGCTGAAACCAGCAATATTTGGACATCGATGCTTGATGCATGACTGAAATGACGACTCGATTATCAAACGACTCAACTGATTGCTTCAGTACCAGCTTCCAGTCTCCTCTCTGCATCCTTCCCCCTGCCTTAGTGTTTGTTACCCGAGCACTGCCAGATTAGAGAGATGGATCATTAAGAGACAGCGGTGAAGCAATAGTCTGGGAAGTAAAGCTTTGCTAACGCTCAAACAAACATAACCTTGGTTTATACGGCTACACTTTCATTAATTCTAAACGGAATGCAAATAAATCAGTGAAAAGAGAATTGCAGCAATACGGGCTTTTGACTTGGAGAGGTGGATAAGGAATTTGAAGTGAGCACAAAGCGCGGAAGACAGATAAGATAGAGACGTGTAGAGAAACGCGAGCAAAAAGGAGCAGGAGAGAAAGGAGCGTGAGATGCATGAGCGATGTGTCCTTACGATACAAGAAGGAAACGAGGTCATACTTCACTTCCAAAGTAAGTAAAAGGAGGGAAGTTATTAACTCGGATGAGACAGATAACACTGTTACCTTGAACTGTAGATAACATGGATTCCACTTTTTTTCCAGGCGTTGGCCATTTAGCCTCCGTCGTCTCTCCGGGGATAATTTTCTGCTTCCCATCATCATTTTACCCGTATATTACCTTCCACTAAAATCCACTCTCCTCACTTCTTATCTTCCTATTCCGCTGCCTTGGAAATTGACTTGGTTGAGAAATAAAAAGTCAAAGAGGTCAATTTAATATGAAAGGTACATTTTGTAATCTTCCAGCAGGTGTGGAGCAGCTAGGCCAGAGGCTATCTCAGGCCCACTAAACAGCAGCTAAATCATAATGTGGAAGGCTTGAACCCAGTCAAACGCACAATAGTCTACCTCCAGGGTGCATGGCGACTACTTTATTCGAGGAGCCTAAAACAAAGACATCGGGGACCGCCGTCACTACTCTGTTATGTGCACATGGACAATGGGAGCGTATCCAAAACACGCAACATTTCCATTCATACAACTGTGAGCGAACGATGACAATAAGTCATCCTTGAACCTATGCATGGTAGCACAAATAGGTTGGGGCGGGGTCAGCGGACTATGAACAGGAGGGTATGCAGAGGAACCGTTCTCCTGTAATGATCTTCTGTTATGAGCTGTTACATGAAGCTCACGCCATAAAAGTGGGTCGAGTGGAGAGGATAGTCCTACTAAATCCAAAGTAAGAGTAGATATTAAACCTTAAATATACTGCGAGGAGAAGGTGATGAAATCTGCTTTACATAACTCCGGAGAGAATTTTTGAAGATGCGTTTTGTTTCTCTTCCTAAACATAAAGCTCAAAACACATGTTTTTCCACCATAGCCTCAGGTTTCCTCGGGTCAAATAGTAAGAAAAGTTATGAGCTCTTGTTCGACCCATGATGAATCATAGCACATCATCTGACGTCTTTCTTTCCAAAATGAACACCATCTGCTGTTAGCCCATGCTGTGTTTTAACTCCTCTTATGTTGCATTGTTATGTTACACTGTCTTCAGTGTCCGTTGTGTCTGCAGTGAAAATAAATGTTTTCTGCATATCAATTGATATATTTTAACTATATTCTCTAATCCTAACAAACAGGTGGAATGAGGAAAAGACAACTTCGACTCTGGAGTAAATTATGAAAAACAAGGGCACTAAATAGATACTAAATACAAAAGGCAGGAAATAAAAAGAATTGTTTCATTTTTTAAAACTTGATATATAATGTCAGTGGGTAGCTGGTGGTTATCCTAGCTGCTTATAGCAAACATAAACCCCTCCAGCTATTTCTAGATCGTTTACTGCTGTTGTGAAAGCTTGCGTGTTTGTTTACTATCCTGATGTTGGCTGGCGTCGGTGGATGCCACGGTGTTCGCTTCCTGTGATAATCTACACAGCCGGCCTGTGAAACCGGATTCTCGTACACAGTTTGAAACCTCTCTTTGCGCCTCGTGACTTCCTCTGTAAATTGTGCCCTTTCTCCCCCGTGTCACAATTTTACTCTGCTAGCCAATGTGAGCATTTTCCTCACACAGATACGCACGTACGCCGCTTCATATACGATTGTGTACATGCGCATGTACGCACCGCTTACATGCGCATGTACACACAGAGCCCTTGATTCACATGTACACCCGTTTCGGCAGCAGGAGTTGATAAATAGCTAAAGGAACACAGCATTGGGTTTCATCCGTAGCAGACTATGATAGCAATCTACCGCAGGGCCAACTGGTCCTGACCACACTATCTGGGTATCGTTATATAAATACTGCCAAAGCGCTGCCTTGCCCCAACCTCCATACTTCTACAACCGCACACCTGAAAGGCTTAATGATGCCCACCGCGCAGTCTGTCGTAATGTCTCACTTTGACCTCTGCTGCTTTCGGAGGATCGAGTGGCCAAACTGCAGTCCTGAGCAGCTGCTCTGATCTTTCATGGAAATCAACAAGTGGTGATGGCGAAGCCGTGTCGGTGTGTGTGTGTGTGTGTGTGGTTTTAGCTCGTCACACTGGAGTCATCATAACCTGACAGTGTGTTCCATTGAAGTGATCGTATTCCTCTATGTCTCAGCCACAAACATAATTCTAAAGTTAAATTTTAAAGTCATTAAGTGAATGTTTGTCCCCGCATGTACATGAAGGAGGGAAGATCAGGCAATGGAGGCTGCAAGATGGGAGATGTGGTGTAAATGTCTTTAGATGGTAAACCCTTCCATAAAGACATATCCATGATGAGGGCCATATATGTACTAAAGCCAGTTATCAGATCTTAGGCAGTTTTCTAAACATTTTTGTTGGACTTTCAGAAGTTCTTTTGTTGTTTTAATCTTCCACTGCCCACATATTTTATGACCCGCAGAGTTACTAGTTTAAAGTGATGCATTACTGTGCCGCGGGTCCTATTAAGCCAGCGACTGTAAATGATGTCAAGGCCAGTACTGGTGGTCAGTTTTAAGCAGGTGACAATAAACTGTGTGTGACGAGAATAATAACAGCGTGTTGAGTTAAAAGGAGCCCGGCATCTTAGGTCAAGTTTAAAAATATCAAGATGGGCTGAATCACAAAAGGATAAAGACAAAATCTTCACGCACATCGAAATTAATCCAATTCAAACAGATTTAAAACTTTTTGGGGCTCTTTGCTTTCTCTCATAATTAAGAATTGTGGTGACAAAGCCAGCAAAAGCAGAAAACAAGAGAAAGTTTGCCATATCGTCTCGTGATGACGTTCCCCGACGGAGTAGTTCATCAAAACCACATCTTCCGAGGTCCCACTTTGAAGTCTAGAAACATCTAAGTCCACCAATGACATCATAACATTCCCCAGGTCTCTGTGGTTATGTTCTGGGCCTGCACCCTCAACCCACTCACTTCCACAGAGCGCACATTACCTGGCAACCATTTAAATGCAGTGTTGTAACTCTGGCACCGACCCCTCTGGTCAGAGAGTGGAGCATGCGATCCCCCTCTCTGTGGCGGTCCACTAAAAAAAAAAAAAAAAAAAAAAAAAAAAGAGACCTACTTGACTCCCATCACAGGATCAATCAACTCATGTCGGGGTTCAACAAAACGATGTGTCATCCCCAATAGCTTCTCTTTAGGCCCAGCTCCAGATCAAGGTCATGTACATGATTGATTGTGATTGATCTGCCTGCATACTCTGGCCATGAGTAATAGTGGCGATACAACAGGAGATGGACCTTGTTTGAGTGTGTGTGTGTGTGTGTGTGTGTGTGTGTATGTGTGTGTGTGTGTGTGTGTGTGTGTGTGTGTGTGGGGGGGGGGGGGGGCAGCAATGAAAGCTTCGGGAGGTCAACTCCTTTTTAGGCTTGTGGCTGGATTGGAGTCAGCAGCACAGGTTGCTGATTAGGGCAGAGGGCACCGACTGAAGTCTTGAGCCATTCAGACAGGACAGGCTCCAGCGGTCAGGCAACAGACGCGACTATTGTAAGCTGCTACGGGACGCAGGGTAAATATTTAGTTTGGAGAAAGAGGGGGTAATAAATGTGGAGAGCTTTAACCCAATCACTCGAAGCCTGCCGCTACGAGCGGGATAACGGGTGAGGGGATTCCATACAAACACGGAAGCACAAAAGCTTTTACAATAGAAATCCTCCATCTAAATACATTTTTTTTGTGTGTCGTGTGATTATGAAGTTGACTGTTGGGAGTAATTATCATGTAGCCTACTTCTCATTTGACTAATCTGGATAAGCCCCTCTGTCCAATCAAGCTGTTCCAACTCACTAACTGCGGCTTAATTATCACTATTCTCATACGAAATAGCACAGGCATTCAACCTCGTCCACATATGGTGTTGGACAGATGAAAGGACGTGAAGTGGAGCAATTGTGAAATGAAAATGTCCCGAAACATTCAGGGCAGAAAAACAACTTCTCATTCTGCAGATAGCTCATGAAAACAGACCAAGTAGTTGTTCATAACTTGTGTCGACCGGATACTGGTCGTCTTTGAGAGTATTTAGCAACATCTGCGTGCAGCCCTCCATTCATTTTATTTCCTGTCCTAAAATCTGGGCTTATAGTGTTTTAGGGGTTCCCAGGTGAGTATCCACGAATATTCCTCACAGCGCGGAAAAAGAAACTTGTGAAACCATGTTTGTAAAAGAGCTGGCCATAAAGTAAGACAATAGCAAACTGGAGTGATGCCTGCAATATGTCACCTTTGAAAATACAGATTTATGAGTACTGCAGGTCCCCTAAGCCCCCCTTCAACAGGAATGCACCTCTTCTGGCTCTTTTTTCCTCTTCACATCTGTGCCTTGGAGGTAAATTGTGTGTGTGAACGAGCAAGGGAGCAGTCAGATGCGAAACATCGAGACACCCATCAGATCTCTTCAATGAAAGATCTTCTAGGAGATGCATTCCGCAGCTCCAAATGGAAGTCATTTTTGTGCCGATTTGTCAAAAATCTCAAGTGAAAACAGTCGAATAAGTGAGAGCAATGATCAGCGATTACCTCAACAATGTGACGCTTGAAGAACGGAACAAACGCGCTGACCACGTAATTACCGAATAAACAAATAGTGGAAAATGTACAGAGGGAAATTGTGGTTGGGCCTCCAGGTAACTTTCATATGACTCAACTCAATCATCAAACATCAGTTAATTCAGTTACATAATCAGCTATTTTTAACCATGCGAGCTGCGTGGCTCTAAGGAAAGCAATGTCAGTCTGACGGTCAGTCCACCACTTTGGTCCAGAGTGAAATATCTCAACGAGTAGATCCCTTTGCCCTAACATTTAGGGCCATCATCAGAGCAACACTTTAATGTGTCCAAACTTTGTTTTAAGACCAAATGCTCAACTTATGACATTCAAGTTCGTGCTAATGAGCAAATGTTGCCTAAACTAAGATTTTGAGCATGATAAACATTAACGCTGCTTAACATCAGCATGTTAGCATTGCCATTGCTAGCATGCTGATGTTAGCATTTAGCTCCGAGCACTGCTGAATCTACAAACAGCCTCACAGAGCCTCTAGCGTGGCTGTAGACTCTTTTTTCTCCAGAGTTTGCACAGAACGAGAGTGTGAAAACAGGTTCATTGCAGGTCAGACGGGCTATTTGATCATATTATTTTCAAAGACTCCCAGTTTGGAAAAAAATGCATTTAAAAGCCAGGTATTTTGAATTCTGGTCAGTGTTAGTGACTTGCTGAACTCTGACCTCTCTGGCCTGTGACCGGACGACCCGAGTCTCATGACTCTGCACCCAAGGCCACAACAAAACAGACATCCAATGTTTACAAGCTACTGCATATGGTATGTGTGTGTGTGGGTGTGTGTGTTTTAAAACTCACGCTGAGGTTTCTGTCCCAGATCTGGATGGTGCCGTCCTGGCAGCCGGCTGCAATGAGCTTCCCGTCGCGGCTGTAGGTGCAGGACGTGGGGACGACCTTCTTCCCCTGGAAGGAACGCGGTTTGAACACGGACTTGTGCTTCTTCTCGGAGCTCAGGTCCCATGTGCGCACAGTGCTGCGGACGGACGGACAGACAGACAATTTAATTTATCCTCCCCCAAGTGTCACGAATCCCTCATAAAATATTATCCCTCAAAACATATTTGGTCATCAACACCATCCGCCGCTGTAATAAATCAGAATCATATAGAGATACAGTGTGTGCCTCTGGTGAGGTTAGGCGGCTATGTGTTGCAGGGTGAGAGGCTAGCAAACAGCAGAACAGTAGATCAGTCTGACAGGCATGTCTGACGCTTCCATGACATTCTTGAACATATTACACAACCCGGACTACTGACGAGGAGGAATTCAAACGCAGACTTTTCACACAGTATGAGTGCCAATAGGAAGTTTCATTCCAAAATGTCATCAAACTTAAGCCCAACAGGAATCCCTGCTTGTTACAGATTTATATTTTAAACATTGGACATAGTATACAGACTCAAATGGTGTTATTAAAAAATATCTATTAACTAATAGCACATGCAATTTATTAATTTACATGTAACAATATAAACAATGTAAAATGAATAGATATAGTCTTCCATTAATCAACAGATTAAACACAAAATATATGTGAAACTTCAAATGATTAATTATTATTGCAGTTAGCATTTCTAAATTATCTGTTAAAATAAGAAAAAAATAGCATGATTGGAGCAAGAAGATTATTTCGGCCAGTCAATGTAGTTGTCAGTATATCTGCTGCATACTTTGAATTTCAAAGTAGAGTTGACGATGATCTGAGAACAACTAATTGTTTAGTTTAAACCAAGGTGGAACGTTCACCTTTGACCCCGTTGGCAGAAGATATCCAAGCAAGCTATGTTGCACACACCTTCTATCGACCTAATCTAATTCGTTTCCATCAACTAGCTATGTATTTCTTCAGAGTTTGCGAAAAACGCATAAGGGACGCTGCAGTGATTACAAATAAATGATAAAAAGATGGAACTTATAAATAACCAGACAAAAACAACAACAAAGAGTACAAACACCAGCCCTGCGAGTGACCTTGAGAGCCTTAAACCTCCACGTCTATTTATTGAACTACCTGACTACACACAAACATGTTCAGCCTACCTCTCACACACCCACGCCACCGCTCACGCCAGACAGAGCGTGTCCAAATGTGCCCGTGACCCGCTGCTTGCTTTAGTGAGCATCATGCCCTTTGGGTCAGGAGGTCAGCAGAGGAGCATAAACATACAGGCGGGGCTGCTACTAACAGCCAGGCAGGGATTCCTCCAAAGTCAGACACACACACACACACACACACACACACACACACACACACACACACA